AAAAATTGAGAAAAATAACATACTGCTGAAATAATACAATACCCATAATATATTTGCAGAACCTTCTCAAGAAAGACAGGTGGCACAAGTTTGGCCACCATCAGGAGAGGTGATAAGAGAGAGATGAACCCATTTGGTTTATAAAATCTAACTTAACAAAAAAAAAAATATAATACATCAAAACAGCTGCTGCAGTTGTGAAAACTTTGGATTTTGTATCCATTTGTGTATTGTCAGCATTGTATGTATATATATTTTAACACTCAGAACACCTATTGTAATAGTGGTTTCCAAACTGTATTGATGTCCCTCTGATGATGGTTGATGATGGTCTCTAAGGACCAAAACATGTAAGGACATGAAGAACTGAAATAAGAAAAATCTTCACCAGTTGCACTGAATGGAACTGTTTTATCGTTTTATAAAATTGTACAAAATTTTTTAGGGTTGAATTTGCATGAGAAATTGGACCAATAAAATTAATTAATAGTATAATTGAGATGCCATTTGTAGTGTAAGTTTTGTTAACAGCTTTAATCACACATAGATGTCACTATTACATTGTAATTTTAACATCCATGTGAGAGATGTTCAGGTCTTATTGTCATGTATTATTCCTTCCTTGTTGCATAAATTCCATGAAGAAAATAGCAATGAAAGTTTCATAGTGTGGATTTTGTAATACTGCATCCTGTTTGTGAGCTCACGAATAATTGCTGTTACACTGTCACAGAAATGCTACTTTCTGAATTGTAGTGTTCCTTGATGTGTCACCCAAAATTAGCTAACATCATATAGGAACAATGCTTGTACTAGGTGGTTCAAATATGACCAGGACTGATTTTTTTGTAAACAAGCCACACTGCACAGCAGCTGTGCGACCTTGAGAGAGTGAAGCCACAACCTCCACCCTCCCTCCTGTTAGGGTTAGAACCTGCATTTTTGAAGTCTATAGTGACCACCGATGAAACATGGGTGCACTACTTCATTCCCGAGTCCCAGCAATCAGCACGCGAGTGGCAGCAAACCAGTTCTCCCAAACCCAAGAGAGTATGGAGGAGCCGTTGCAGGAAAAGTGATGGCAAGGTTCTTCTGGGACTGGCAGGGGGTTATCCATGTAGACTTTCTGACAGATGCCAGAACAGTCAATGCAGCTTATTACTCCGACCTCCTGGCAACGGACGTGAAGGAAAAGATCTGATCCAAGCGGAAGAGAGGTGGAAAGCGGGTAGCCCTCCTTCAAGACAATGCACACCCCCATATGGCCAGAACAACAATGGAAACCCTCCAGAAATTGAAATGGAACTTTCTGACACATCCGCCATACAGTCCCAATTTGGCACCAAGTGATTTCTACCTATTTGGAAGGCTCAAATCAGACTTGCAAGGCATGCGGTTTGTGGACAACGCCATCATCCAGAATGTTCGGGAGTGGATACGCCGCCAACCACAAAACTTTTTTTGAAAAGGGCATCAGGATGCTTCCAGAACTTTGGAAAAAATGTGTTGACTCCGGAGGGGAGTACGTTGAAAACTGACATGTGCAAGTAAGTGGTTGGCAATTTTGGTTTAAAAAAAGAAGTCCCGGTCATATTTGAACCACCTTATAGTTAGTAGATCAACAGAACTGTAGAAATGTGATTTTGTGGGTTTCAAGTAAAATCTAACTTGTTAAAGTAAAATACGAGGGTAAGTCAGAAATTATCCGCACTTTCTCCATAACACATCCTTAGGTTTGTCACACTGCCTCCTACGCATGCATTGTTAGAGTTGGTACTACTGTGGTCACGTGATCGAAGTTTTACCTTGATCGCATCATTTTCCTTGATGCTGTGACAGTGTAAACATGGCCGCTCTGCTAGCAGTGTGCACCAATGATTAACAAAGAATAGTGATCCGATTTCTCTGATTGGAAGGTGTGTCAGGGGCTGAAATTCATATGTGGGTTCATCACTATGAGCCAGAATCCAAAAGCCAGAGTATGGCTTGGAAACACCCGGGATCGCAAACGAAGATGAAATTCAAGACTCAATCTTTCGTGGGAAAGGTGATGCTAACCATTTTTTGGGACTCAAAAAGGCCTATACTGGAAGACTACCTGGAAAAAGGGTGTGCGATCAACAGTGCAAGATACAGTGATTTGCTGGCCAACAATCTGAAGCCAGCAATTCGCACCAAACGCCAAGGCTTATTGTCGAAGAAAGTGTTGTTATTGCATAACAATGAACACTCACACAAGGACGGCCAGACCGTTGAAACCATTAACCATTTGTGTTTTGAGGTGCTGGAACACCCTGCCTACAGCCCAGATCTCGCCCTTTCCGACATATCATCTCTTTGGACCGCTCAAAGATGTTTTACGAGGTTTCTGATTTTCTACGGACCAAGAAGTGGGGAAAGCGGTGCATAAATGGTTGCGCGACCAAATGAAAACCTTCTTCGTGGAGGGAATACGCAAGCTTTTGGACCCCTAGACCAAGTGCATCGAAAAGGGAGGAGACTATGTAGAAAAATGAAGTACTTGTTCAACCCCTACTTTTGTATATATGGATTGGAAAAACAAGAGTGCGGATAATTTTTTACTTACCTGCGTATTATATAAGGATCATACAGGGTGCATCATTGAATCAGGCAATTTTAAAAACGTTATGATCAGTAAACTATTGCATTTATTTGGTTTTAACACATATGAATACAATGTAAACATAAAAGCATTTGGTTTTTCTCAATTAATTCGTTGAAAACATAAGTCTGTTTCCCAAAAATAACATCAGACCAATGACTGCCATTCCGCTGTAGGCACTCAGTCTCTTCCTGAAGTCACTCAATACTCTTTGCACCATCTCTATGGGAATTCGTTCAACTTCTTCCTGAATTAGATATTTCAAGTCCTGAATCGTGTGGGGTGCTGGAGATTTGAAAACTTGGGATTTTAGATACCACCAGAGAGAAAAGTCACATGTGGAAAGATCAGGTGACCTCACTGGCCATATGATATCTCCATATCTGGATATAACATGGTTAGGAAACAGGTTATCACAACTGCCACGGAAGCTCGTGTGGTGTGGCACGTAGCCCCATCTTGCTGGAAAAAGTCTTCCTTGACTGGAAGGCAAGAAAGTGCAGGAGCTATGCTCTCCAACATGTGAATGTAATGTGGTCCAGTCACAGTTACAGCCCTTTCCCACTCATCTTCAAAGAAGTACGGGCCAATAATCCAAACAAAGATATCGTGCACCATACTATGACTTTGGAACTGTTAAGTGGTCTCTCATACTGTAAATTTCTTTGGGGTTTGTAGTTGACCAATAGCAGAAATTTTGTTTGTTAACAAACCCCGACAAATGGAAATCAGCTTTGTCGCTCTTCAGTAAGTTGTTAACGACATCTTGCTTTTGATTAATTAATTGCAAGAAAGTCTGGCAGAAATCAACTCTGTTTTCATAGTCGTGTTCATGTAATGCATGAGTGATTTGAATTTTATAGGAGTAGAAGTGAAGATCTTTGTGCAAAATCTGCCAAACGCTGGCTTCAGACAGCCCGAATGATGTAGCGTGGTGACGTGCAGACCAGCGTGGACTTCGTTCAATGGCTTCTCTCACTGCCACTCCATTCTTGGGTGAATGTGCTGTTTTTATGCCGCTGCCTTTCTTCTTTAGTGTAGAAGCAGTAGCCTCAAAGTTTTCAACCCAGGTCTTGATGGCATGGGCAAATGGAATAGCATGGTTGTGATGAATACCAAACTCTCTTTGAAATTCAAGCTGAGCGATCATGAAATTGTCACCGTTTTTGTAAACACTTTCACAGCAAAAAAATGTGCTCCAGTCCACGGCTCCATTTCAACTAAAACGCTTTGAAGTAGGCTGCTGGGTGGCAGTAGTGATCCTCCCCACTCCAACCAATCCAGGAAAAAAAAGCACAACCAAATCGCTCGATTCATTGATGAACCCTGTATAATCTTATGTTAAAATTATGTATTAAAATGATAGGTGTCGCAACATATGTACTCATCAAAGCTCAACAAGCCCTATGTAGTCATTGGTCAAATGTTGGTGCTAATTATAGAGAATGTATACCTCCACATCATAAACTCGTCATTGGGTGCAGATGAGTTGCAATTTTCATTCCCCAGCCACTTTACCCTCGGGAATAGAATCCCCCCCAATACCCATTGGTTTGGGTGGGGGCTGCAGAACTGGTTTGGGCTCTATGAGGAACAAAAAGAAAAAAAACTTGCCTTTCCAGGAGTCGAACCATGGTTGTTCAGGCTGTAGCCTAGTTGGAACGTTACGTTTATTAGCACATTATTACCCATGGGTATATGAAACAAAATAAAGGTAACAGTAGTAATATTGTATCATGTAGTACCGTTGCTGTGCAACGATCGCGAGAAGGATCTGGAGTTTATAGTAGCGGCCGGTACACACATCAACAATATCCGGGCAATCACTACGCAACCGCCNCGTAGAATCCAAGACCTGAAGTTTATTCACTGTTTGATTATTTGAGATTATCTGACCATTGTCTATAGGTAAGTGTTGCCGTTTACCAACCTCTGCTTGCATGCATTACCAGCGTTTCTTGAAATTCATCTCAAAGCACAAAAGACATTAAAATATATCATGGATGATTATGACTTCTCTGTTTGCGCCCTTCATGATTCGACGCACCGTCTTCGTCTAGTGTTTAAGCCTTAGAGCGAGGACACACCAAGGAAACGCAACCGCAATTTCCGAGAATTGTTATCAGCCTGAGTTGAAAACATGTTACCGAATGGAGCAGCGCAAATTGAGGAAACGGCACTCAATTTGCTCTGCTCCATTCTGTAACATGTGTTCAACTCAGGCTGATAACAATTCTCGGAAATCGCGGTTGCCAGTTTCCTTTGTGTGGCCTAGCCCTGATGAAAGAAAGTCCAGGTAAAACTTGTAACGGTAAATTTTATTGTAGTGTGATGTGTTCAGTTGATGTTGGTAATGCTCACGGATGTTTACGTGACGTTGAATAATTTGGAGCATCATGGGATTATATATTCCATTATTGAAATATTGTATTTGTGTCATCGTTCTGTGTTGTTTCTTGAAATATGAAATTCAAAGCTAGAGCACAGTTTTCCTTTTCAAACTTGAGATTCCAGTTTGCTTGAATATACTGCCAGAATTTAATTAAAACGTCTGAGCACTAGTTATCTTGGTTAAAGGATATTGCAAGTCTGTAAGCAGGCTGTGAATGAGAATGTCACAGTTATTAATCAACAATGCATGAATAATTAAATGTACAAGTTATAATAATTTTGCAATCGTGTACTTATGGCGCTTATTTTTTAAACCGCTGAGGTATGCTTCTGCCATTGCTAAGCTTTCAGTTCTCGTAGTATAAAATACCCTCGTTCTAGGCAAGTTGACATTCAACAGAATCATTTTTAAATTGTAGTATATAGTTTAGTACACTTTTACTATTTCCTCCTTTAAAACGTTGAAATCTGTCGGTCTATTTTCTTCCGCAGATTCCTTTTTTCTTGCCGCGACTGTGTTTGGATTAGTCCGCGGTCCGCCATCTTCGAGATCTTCGACGAGCTCGTCTCTGGTACTCAGAGCAGACGAGTGTCGTGTGTTTTGGAAAGGGGTTAAAGGCCTTTTGTGGTGCTGATAGTGGTGTTATTATTGCTCATGGTAAGTTTGAAGCTTTGTCGTGTGGTTTTATGTTTGAGTGTGTTTGTAATGCTTTATAAGTAAGTAGAATTGGACGATGATGAGAGCTTGTGTAAGTCAACTTCAAAGGCATAGGAAAGGAGCTAGTTTTTCTAGAGATTCGATCGTCACTTGGCGTATTTGATTGGACAGTCGACTAATTCGTATTTACATACCGGTATGCGAGCGGCTATTGTAGTGATACTATAGGTGGTCAGCTTGAAATATTTTTTTTTTGTGAAAGTGGTAAGTCGATGTTAAATTTCCAGTTCGGGACCAATGAACAGATTAGGGCAATATGATTATGTGGTTGTAATACAGTGTGGCCACTCAATAAGACGGTTTGTGTGTGGAATAAATTGCCACATGCACAGTTGAAGACAGTTGAAGTTTTGCTGTACGTATAACACGCATTAGTAACAATCACCATAGAAGTTTTATAGGTGTATGTAAAAAAAATGCTTATAAATTTATCGCATTTTTCGTTGCCATTTTAACAACTTGTAACGATGAACCGTTTCATTGTGTTCTTTTTATTGCTTTAACCCTTATATTGCCAGGGCCAGGAATGCCAAGCGGTTGTCGGTGGCTCTGGTGTAGAAATAATGTAGACAGGTTATGTTCTTTCAAATTATGATTTGTGAGAGAGCCAAAATGAATGGAAGGGGACAAGGGTGTGAGTGTCGGCCGCGTAAAAATGAAGTGAGAAAAATCCAAGTGCCCATATTGTGGTATTACAGTAGGTTTAGGTATGCACACTCCTTTTTTTGGTCGTGTCATTAGTCATCAATCATTATATGTAAAGATTCGGAAGTTTATACTTTTGTAAGATATACAAAAGTATATAAGGTATGCCGTCTACACAACAATATTCTCTATTTAAAAACCAAAGAAGACAATACTGTATCAACATTTGCTCATATTGTGCTTTTGCAGATGCAACATGTTTCGACCCTTACACCAGGTCATAATCGGGTGTATAGTGCTCCAGTTTGAGCTGATGAATTGGAATTAATTATCATCTAATTCTTCAAATAAGGATCCTCATTGTGTCTTAAAATTATTTGAATGCATAAATATATATATATTAAGTAGTAGTCTAGACTGAACTGCTACAACACAGTGACAGCACCAATGCAGGTAGCAGCCCATACACATCTTTCATAAGACTAANCGGTGTTGTCGCTTGCAGATTTCTTATACTTTTTCTTCTACCCTGAAGATGGGGGCGATACGTTCCTCCGAAACGTCGGTTAACACCACATATACACGGTGCCAAATCCCAGAAGACTGCTTTCTTCATAACCTAACATACATCACACATACTGAATAATGATCATAAGCTCTGTAAGACATTACTAAGGTAATGACTACATGACCTATCCCATGTGAGAAGATTCTGATACATGGGTGCCCCACACTATAGTCGCTTCTACTGACATAAAACGAGGTGAACACATAGTGGTTGCAGAGTCTTGCCACAAAAATGGATTTTTAACTTTCATGTATTAATCTTTAGTTTTTAATTTTAATCGTTATATCTTTAATTTTAAATGATGTTATCTAAGGATTTTCAGTTTTGAAAATTTTGACCAAAACTTCATACCTGTATTTATGCATTTCAGTAATTTCAAGATAATAAGGATCCTTATTCGAAGAATTAGATGATAATTAATTGCAATTCATCAGCTCAAACTGGAGCATTGTACTCCCGATGATGACCCAGTGTAAGGGTTGAAACATGTCACATCTCTAAAAATGTAATATGAGCAAATGTTTATACAGTAGAGTCTTCTTTGTTTTTAAATACAGAATATTGTTGTGTAGATAGCATACCTTATATACTTTTGTATAGTTAGTTAGTTAGTTAGTTATTGGAGAGGGTGGGTTTCCCCATGCACTTAGACCTGTATTGGTCCATTGTGCTTCCCTCTATGATTTCTACCAGTCTCTATATCCTACCGGTATTGGTGCTTACCATCAGTCCCGCCCAGCCAGTGAGACCGGCTCTACTAGCTGAGAGGTATCTATAATGCTTCCCCCATCTACCAGAGGTATTAGAGACTGCTGTTGGGCGGGAAACGTCTGTAATTTGGCTCAGTGACCTCCTTTGGAGATATGAGGTTCTTGTACGTGCCGTAAAGCTATGACACGGGACCCATGGCTTAAAGTCCCTCCCGGAGGACTTGTTCCCTGAATTTTTCCACCCTTAAAAATTTGACAACCTCCGCCAGGTATTTGAACCCGGGTACTACGAGTCATGAGGTGGGAACGTTACCTCTAGACTACGGAGATCGCTTACTTTTGTATATCTTAATTATGACACACAACAGAATGCATGGTATTAAGTTTATACTTTTGGCTTGGAGTCTTGAATAAAAACACCTCCAGTAGTATTTGTATTCTTGTTAAATCATTTTGCTTGAGCCACATTTTTCATGTTTAAAACTTTTTTGTTCGGCAATTCACATTTTTTATGATGTTTTAGACCTTCTGCCCACCAGTAATCCATTATAGAATCTTTTGGATGTCACTCCTTGTCAAACAAGGTAATAGTTTCATGTTTAGAATGACCTACTATCCGTTTTTTGATGTAGACTCAATGCAGTTAATCTTCCAAAACATTCAGATGTTTGTACCTTGTTTATAATGGTTCATCACCCAACAGACTTTTTAATGACTTATATGGAAATATTGGAAGTGGGGCTATTCGCTAATGTGAATAAGTCAAGATTGTTTCATGTTTGCAAGATACTGCACAGATTATGTACCAAACATTCTATATGCTTGTATCATAATTTTAAGGGGCATATTAAGTCTAAGTGTAATCACAGTAGAGCACTGTAGGTCGTGGTGCAAGGCCAAGAAGGTCCACCCCTTATGCATTCATTCACACAAGTCTTATTATGATGATAACTGAATCCAGTGAAATTATTTTACAGGAGTGACTGACATTACAAGCATCTGTGTTGTTACATTACACATAAGTGTAAAAAGTAAGCAAGTTGAGCAATAAAACTGAAGTGCAGTGTTGTGTGATAAGTGCCACATGCCAGTTTGTTCAGTAGGTGCAACTTCCACTCACAATAGAGGTCAGTTAGGCTCTGTGGCACATGTTACTAGCAGGTTGACTCATTTTGTTTGTTGCATTAGTTCTGAAGAATGCAGACTGGTTGCACAGGCTCACTTCATTTATATGGTTTTCCTGAATAATATTCTGAGATAGTACCTTGTGCTAGATCGTGACACCTTTTCTTCATGTCATTGTCTTATAATTTGGTATTATATAATGATTCCAGTTGAAAGAGCACCGTTAAATGAACCTAGAAACAAAAAGAGATGGAAGTATTCTTTGTTTGCAGTTTAGTTTTGTGATGTCATTAAATGTGTCATTGTCTCCTCTCTATCACTTATACATATACACTTCTGTCTTAAATGCTACCTTTATCTACAATTACTTCTTCACTTAGAAATAATTTACAAAAAGGCTTTGTGTATGCCTGGCTGTTCTGTTGTGTCAGGTGCAGGTTGGCGGGGGCACACACCCATGTTTCACGTTACCCCCATCCTAGTCACAATTTCTGGCATATTGAGACTGCATGTGTGAGCAGAAGTTCTCATTACATGTGCTGTCACATGAGACAGTTTTCTTTTAAGAGGGCCTGTTGACCAAGCTTGCAGATGTCTTTCTGTTGTTTGATTTTGGGCCCTCTGCATCTGGGTGCTTATGGCACCATGCTGCTCAACTGTTATGGAGCTACAAAATTAAACATTTTGTTTTGTCACAGTCCAGGGAATATAAATCTGTTGTGTGTGCATGGGGAAAGTTGCAAAGATAGGAAGATGCATGAAAGAAGCTAATGGGGATTGTTTGAACACTTCATACCACAGGGAATTAGAACAGTATTAAAGCAAGAGTTTGTTAATGGTATAGAATTGTCACTTGCTAATGAATTGTTTTGGTTGGTACCAATGTAACTGAGAGCTGTGATGACAGTGTTAATGTTCAAACAGCCAAACCTTGCTGTTTGTTTACAATGGGCATAACCACTGTACTAGTTCTCTGGAGTTAGCTGAGCCACACTGTGGGTACTGAATGGCTCAGTGTGTTCTTTCAAGGGAGTGCTGCCACACTGATGAGACATAACCAGAGAAGTATGTAACTGTAATTTCTGATGCTGGTTTGTTCCACATCTTGATAGGGAATAAACGGTATTAATAGTAACTCTCAGACTGCATACCGAGTTTTGTGTGTTGATGTTGGTGACTTGTGTAGAGATGTGTTGCTTGAATTACTTCAGCAAGATCTAGACAGTAAATTTAAATATACATTTTGGAGTTCTGGACACTTGCCCTGTGTTAGTTAAGTCCTGTGAGTTAACATTGCAACAAAAGACTGGCACAGGAAATATTTGCATGTGTTTGTGTTTTGTGTGTGTGTTTGGTTTGCAGCTTGCTGAGCAAATTCTGTGCTCCCAGTAGCATTAGATCTTGTTGGAGCCACCCCACCATGGCAGCCTTCCTGTGTAAGAAAAATAAGGTATGTGGTATGTCTTTTAATTTATGTTGTGTTTTCCTGCAGCATGGTGGTAGAAGCGAAGAATGGTGAAGAATTTTGATGAGGAATCTGCACAGAGGTGGTCCTATTCATTCATTTCCTTTATTTTCCATTTATCCATACAGGTAACAAACCTAGGATGTGGAAATGGTCCCTTTGAAAATAGATATATCAAGATACATATACAAAATTACTCGAGTCACGTAATCAAAATAATTTACATTAATCAGTTAACATAAATAATAATATAAGGTAAGAAATTTAATAAAATAATTTAAAAATAACTTACTATAAAACTTGAATTAATACAATTGTATTTAAATTACCCATATTAATTGTTTATAAAAGGAATGAATATATGTACTATATATACTATACTATAGTACTATATACTATAATATCACTATCAGTGATTTGGTAGGTA